ATGAAAACTTGATAATCTTGAAAATTGACGGTCCAAAAATGCATTACAAAACACACTATTTTCAAAACTTGAAATCCATTTTTTTCTCATGTCCATGCATCTTGATGTCGAGATGATCAATTTGAGGATATTTGGGCATTAAAATAACCTCTTCTATAGTAAAATTGTTGAGGTAGGCTCTAATTTGATTGTTTAGAGCCTCCGCTTTATATAAACTTATCCCATCTCTTATTTCAAGATTCTCGGATCTACTGAAACTAATGCAAGCATGCTCACTTGCTTGTCTTGGGGCAAAAGCACCTATCCTAGAGCGAGAAGCATACATTTTATATCTTCCAGAATCTTGTTCTGCAATTGTATGTAAACAAAACAAAAAAAAGGGATCTGCTGCAAGTGATCTCATAGAAGTTTATTTTCTTGTTCTTGAGATAGTAAAAGAAAATTCTTCACATGGGTATTCCTCCTCATTAAAGAGTTCAATTATCTTGTTTCAAGAACAGTGTTACATGTTCAATCTCCAATCCAGACCAAACCTATTCATTTTCACTGTCATTTAAATATGAAACCAATACAATTAGAATTGAATTATTCACTTTTTACTATCTTTTTAATATCAATTTGAAAAGTCTCATATGTTCAGCAAAGTTCTTACATAAGCAAAGTTTTCAGATAGGCAAGCTGCCGAGTATTGGATATCCACACTTTTTCTGATAAACTTATCAGTCTAACACACTTCAACTTCAAGGGAGTGTTCTTAGTGGCATTCCGATCTTCATCTTGTATTTTTTTTTGACAAGGTTACATAGGAATGGAACTTGAGATGATGCTCTTAATATATTATTTTACATGCCGGAAGGATATTTTAATCTTTAGTCCACTTAGAATTATACAACTATTTTGGATTTGATATGTACACAAATAAATATGTACATACACGTGTACATAATACACACTGATGCAGCCAGCAGCAACGGTATTTTTTATCTTTTAAAGTCTTCAAGAACGTTTAGGCATCTTTGGATTTCCATTGGAGCTCTACGTTTACAAGGTCATTTGAAGGTTTTTGGCATCTTTTGGGTTTTCCCAATGGATGGGAATAAGATTTGGGGGTCTCTAGAGCCCCTAGATAAGTAGTAGAGTCCATAGAAGGCTTTGTATGTGGACAACAAAATTAATTACAAATCTTATTGATGAAATCTTTTTAGCATTTAATCCCTGAGAAATTGCTCTTTATTTTCTCTCATGTACATTAAGTTGCATCATCTTTCTGTCTGCATCATATACACACATAGGCACGCATGTACTCCCAAACACAAGATTCTTTGTCATGCAGAAAAATATTTTCTTGTAATATTCATCAAAACTTCAATGTGAAATCTAATAAGTAGCACGTTAGTAAATTAGAGCACTGAACACAGACTACACAAAATATTCTATATAAATCACAAAGTCAATAAGCAATATCAACCCTCAGTTAACTAACAAAAACATACTCTGATAAACATCTAAACAGTCATTTAAATATATGTGTGTGTGCATATTCATTAGCAGGATGGGAACCAATAAGAAAATTAAGAAACTACCACTTCTTGGAAAGTGACCTGCAAACAAAACCAAATGGAATTCGAATGCAAGAAACAGAAACTATATCTTTTAGCTAGTCCCTAAAAAGTAAGAGGCAGATAAATGGAACTTATAATGTTATCTCAATCATGGTGAATGAAATGCAACAAATACCAAAGCTACCAAATGAAGTGGTAGTAATTTTACTTTAAATCATCTAAAAGACAATTATAACAGCATTTTAGCACAGATTTACCTACAAAATATTAGATAACTAGACCTAATGATGGAGTTTAGAAATTTTTCCACCATTTCAGCATGCTAAACTGTCCTCATTCAGATTTTCTTCACAGGCATAGTTCTCCAGTAAATGACCCGCATAATCAAATTCGAGTAAAAGAATTACAAATCTTGACATATAAATCTACACGTAGTTTATCTTGCAAAAATAAATTGAAGAAACCTTCGAACACATTGGCATAATGTTAGTTTTAGGGAGAAATTAAAAGCAACCACAGCACTGAGGCTTAAGATGCCAAGAGAGGAAGGGCTCATAGTTCTAAAAAATATGACATTCATTCAACCACCTGTTAAGCAATCTACTGCTACAAACTGATGCAAAAGAATGTGACAAAGGCTATCACCCACAGCACTGAGGCTTAAGATGCCAAGAGAGGAAGGGCTCATTGTTCTAGAACATATGACATTTATTCAACCACCTGTTAAGCAATCTACTGCTACAAACTGTTGCAAAAGAATGTGACAAAGGCTATCACTCTAAAATTGTGCGTGAAGATATTTGAGATAAAAGTTCCAATCAGACTCATCAGTTCTCCTGAAGAATGTGTAAGAAGCCTGGGGAGTGAGTAGATAGTACCATACTTTGTTACCAATTGCACGCCCAAACCCACACGGCACTGCTGCAGCATCGACATCCCCAACATGTGGGCGCAAATTTTTTCTAGCCCTGCACAAAATTTCTCGGATTGTCAAGTAGTACAACTAGGAAACTAATGTCAGAGATAAGATGAAAGCAAAGCCCAGATGTAGCCTATGAACTTTTAGCTGTCGCTTAAAAAAAGAGCAAATTCACAAAACATCACAACCACCACCATGAATAATTCTCACCAGACAGCAATGAGCAAACCAGCCAGCTGCCGAGACCCCACACGTTCAAAAGTTGCTCCTTCATCTAAGGTCTTCCCAATGGTATCCAACCACCACTGACCATTAGCACTACCCTCAAGCCCTACCTACATATTGTGAAAGCAGTAAATATAACTAACAGGAAATGAGAAATAGAGAAAACGAACACATATTAGAAATAATAGAGTTTGATTGATAAAAAGAGTGCACATAGAAAATATGTTTGCTTTTGGACCCAAACGAGTTGTGAATATTAGAATAATACGTCATGTGCGGCATAAACATAGCATAAATATATGCATGCATACTGACATATGTACACATACACACGCATAAATGTGCACACAAACAAATGCCCAACACATGTACAGACGCACACATACAGACACATGTACACGTCTGTATAACTACACAAGTATGTATCATCCATGGCAATTATGTATTAATGTACATGCAACATATTTTTGGTGGATGAGGAATTGTTACACCCAACATTTGGAAAAGATCAATGCCAGTTAAATCTATCTGAAATCTTTTATTTTTATCTTCTTTTTTTAAACGGTAAATCCATCCAACTTAATGGTCTAGTATATCTACCTAGAGTCATTGAAATAGATTCAGCACAAAACTGACCAAAATTGGGTAGAATCAGTGCTACTCATCCCAAATCTACAATATTTATTTTTACATTTTTAGGTAGCTTAGTTAGCTCGCCTGGTTCATATTAATTTTCTAAAAGCTTTTGTACAAGAGGAACCAAGAACTCTTAATCATAATACATATAACGTCGTAACTGGTAACATATATCAATTACCAAAATGCTAATGTGTGCAGATGACTGAATGCACCAAAAATACAACACATAATGCCAGACTACCTCTACTGTACAGTATTACACGTCTAACCATAAGTGGATTGTGTAAGAGCCCAAGAAAATCGTAGAGAGGTAATCCCCAGGGATGTCATCAGCTTATGAAGAATAACAAGTTATGAAACAAGAACAATGAAATTTGTATCCCCCAGACTCCAAGAGGTTTCAAACTCTTGTCAAAGTGTTGAAACTAGACCAAGTATAGTTTGTATCTCCCAGAGCTCTACCTCTAGGCATAAAGTTCTACATATGTAGGATCATAGTACTAATGTCCAATGTTCACCTTTCAGCTCCCAGCTTGAGTATGGCTTCTGGTTGAGTGGTGTAATTTCCGGCCTGCAACTGGGAGATCCAGAGCTCAAACCTTGATGTTTGTTTCTAATGTAAACCAGCAGCAGATGGTGCATAAGAAGGTGGTCAACTGAATCCTCATCTCTACACATGATGCATGTGCAGTATTTGCATAATCCTATACTTAGGGTGCTCAATAGTAACCTGTCCGGAAAGCTACCCATGCATAAGAACATCCCAAACTAACCAAGACAGCAAAAGGCCCCCAATGAGCTCAACTAAAACCCAGAAAAAGTAGGACCACCAACTATGCTCCATTGCCACATCCTCCAATTGGACATTGTTCATTATGAGTCCTTTTAACAAGGCCTTGAGCCTCATTTAATTCGAGCTCCACAGCACTCGGTTCCTATGCCTCGTGGTTCAGCACCAACCCTAACAGATATGGAAAAAATGGTCTAAGAGATAGGTCGCCACACCATATAATCCCTAAAAGGATTTCCACTATCACCCACTACTACAAACCCCAAACCCTCCAATAACCTGTCTTCGTTCAATATGCTCCCTTCCACATCCAGGACATCATGTGTTATTTTGTGACATCATGAAAGAATGCATTCAGATAGCCAAAATAGAATTTAATGAAAACAGAAACTCCATTAAATCCAAGATGAGAAAGGAGGAGCCACAAAGTCTTCTTCAAACCTTCATGTACTCAAGCTCTCATGCTCACAAAATGTTAATAATTCTTGGAAAGGGAAAGAGGAAGTACATTTTTCCCAGAAAAGGACTAAGACCAATTTATAAGCATAAAAGCATCTAAATAAGACGAACTTGCCCATCACAGGTGCAATATGAGATGATTCTATGACGAAGCCTATATAATAGAATACTATATTCCAATTACCTGGAACCTGTTCTTTTTTTTTTAATCAATTACCTGGAATCCAAGTTCAAGGGAGAATACATCGACACAATTATTAATATATTGCCCAACTGAATACAATAGTAGTTAGTATTAAGTTAATTTATTTATTGATAGATTCTGAAATAGAGCCACCTCTTTGCGAAGTTTTTTGTATTCGATTTGGTCTGCTGATGATAAAGTGTGCTACCCAGCAGCAGAGCAGGGAAGCAAACTTAAGTTCCTTAAGTTTATAATAAACTATGGTTAACTCTTTCACATTGATGCCATCTTATTTATAGGGTGCATTTCCTAACATCTGGATGAATGATATGAGCTTAGTAATAGCTTTTACTAAATTTAGTAGCAAGATGTGCCACTCAAATTTACTCAAAGGACCCTTGCTAAAACAAACAAAGCAAAGAAAATGGTAGAGTGAGTTTAAAACAAATCAATGGCAATGTAAGAGATTCAATAGTAAAATAGAACCGATGATCTTACAGTTTCTTTCGCTGCTGCCATTGCAAGGAAACCGGCACCCATTTCCACTTCCTGCAACCCCACAACCACAATACCAACATCCGATGCCGAAGAACCAAGCCACGCTATGAGAGAATCATGAGAGGCTCTTTCCTGACCCACATTCCATGTCCCAACCAATATTTTAAGTGTTTCTCGTTTCGTATAAACAAGTTCCTTTAGAGCCAATTCGGTGCTCAATATATCATCAAGAGGCCCTGGAGATGTCATGTTCCAAGCACGAATGCCCCCATGACTAGCCAAAGTGAAGACAAAACCACCCCCAACCACCATCTTTGTAACCCCACAACTATGAGCCACCCAACCCCCCAATAGTTTACCCTCAAGATCCACTACCTGTATAGTACCATTAGCATAACCTATCCACAATCTCATTCCAAAAGCACAAAGGCATTGAACAGGAGAAGAGTGGTAGTGGAACTCTTGCAAACGATTGCCATTGCCATCCCATTGCACAAGTGCACCATTTGCACAGCCAGTCCAAATCATGCCATCCATGGATGCCACAATTGCCTCAGTTCTCCGACTGTCGTCACCAAATGTACCCTTAACAGCAACTCTGCGAACAGCATCAGCTGCTCCCATCAAAGCATTACGTGAGCGTTGGAAGAAACTGAGGGAGCCTTGGGTTTTTTCCTTCTTTGCGACTGATACAAACTTCACCTTCATCTCATCTTCTAAGGTAGACTCCTGTGCCGATGATATGTCTACACGAACCTCAGCCTGCCCATCCACTCCAAAAACTTTTAAAAGATCCCTTGTACGAGCATCCCTGCAATTGAGAGCCCCATTGAAGAATTCAAAAAAGATAAAACTGACAGAGAGAGAAAGAACATAAAAAATAACCCAATTATGGAACAGTTAAAAAAGAACAAAAAATGACAGAAAGTAGGCATGTTTCCCACAACCAGAGGACATACACATACATAAAAAACAACACATGTATACATATGTGAGCAAGTACTGAGAGAGAGAGGGAGAGAGAGTTATGTATAAAAGGGAACACATACCACAACGCAAAGGACAAGTACCCACCACTCCACACTTTTGCCCTAGAATAATCTGATACCAAGTATCTTACATCGGACATGGGAATGGCACACACACCGCCCACCGTGAACAAATTCTTAAGGTCAATAAAAGACCTCTCCATTGATATAACTGCAATATGTCTTTCTTCTGCAGACAGAGCGAGAGCCTTCTCCATGGCCTCCCATGGCCAGGCTCTGATTGCACCACCCTCAGAACCTGACCAAACGTCACCTGAACAGCACAAGCACTGTGATGAGAGCAGAAGATATCAAAAACAGGTTAAGTTTAACCCCTTCATGAAACAGGTTAAATTCAAACAGTAAACACCATCTGTGTGTCAGCACAGTAATCATAACTTCATGAAGTACAAAGCTAACCATGACACAAAGGTATAGAATACTTCCCAATAAATAATGAATGGTAGAGCCTAGATAAATCATACATGCAACCAAGCTCTCTTGTGGTAAAAACACAAAAGAAGGGTCTGAGTTTCATCTAGTGAGAGATTTTGCCACTGAGTGTGTAATTTCAGGATCCAAAGAACCTCTTGCACAAAAGTCAAAACAATGTGCATCTTTTAATTCTGGTTTAAACACAATTGTTCATAAAGAATGTATATGGATGCTCTTGATAACTTTCTAAGATTGTGAAATATGGATACTGCAAAGATGCAATGTTCAAGATAATTTGTTAGAATGTGGGGTATTAGATTCTTTTCATTTCCATACATATTCTAGGTGAAGAGCGTCCTGGGTACCTTAGGATCATACTTTGATTAGTATCCTTACAATACAAACCCACATCTAACCAACCATCTCTATTTTTTCTTCAGAAATCAGATGCGTGGTTCACTTGCATTCATGGTATTAAACAGATACTATACAGCCAAAAATCCAAATCAATCATACTGTCCAACAAAATGAAATTCCATTTCCTGGAATCATGGTTAATGCATAAAGAAAACCTGAAGCCAGGTTACAAATACAGTAAAATCAAAATAGAACCCTACACAAGATTGACAAACATCAATTCTTTCTCAATTATCCCATTTCCTTTTCTAATCCATTAACTACACTCATATTTTTATCTAAATCAAACAAAAACTGAAAAGGAAAATAAATAAGAACCCAAATGCTTACCGTAAGAAGTCATGACCATGGACAGAACGGGAGTCTTATGCGCTGTCCAAGAAAGGCATTCTTTGAACTGGCCCGCCACTGAGTCCTGGTCCATCTTCCAAACCCTAATCTTCCCATCCTTGTGCCCGCTCAAAACCAACTGGTTCGCCGCATCAGTGAGCAAACAAAGCGTAGGAGATGTGTTTGCTGACTCGTGAAAAGGTGCTGTGTCTTCATCCCCCCTCACATGGCACCTCTCGCTGCTCCCCATAAAAAAATCATCGAAATTCCAATATCGAACACCCGACTCTTGACCAGCCCAAAGCTGGTTCTCGCCGCAACTAATGGTCCTAAGGAAACAACCCACCTGTGTCTCTCTCAAAGGATGGGGCCTCAATTCTAGAGAGGTAGGGCGCCCTGGATGAATTGCTGCCCTTAATGGCACCTTAAAGATCCCTTGCCCACCTCCGCTTCCTATGAATTCAGGCAAACTCTTTGGGCTTGAAGAAGGATTCTCAGAACCTATTCGTTCAGATTGGCTCATGAAATCGAGCCTTTCACCACCCCAATAATCATCACTGATTCTACAACCTTCTGTTTTCGAATGGTAGAGAGGAGTGAGGTGTTTCGGGATCCTCTCGTCGAGACTGTGTTTCCTTATGGGGTTCCTTTTCACTTGAGGGAAAGAATCAAAGACCTGGCCTGACTGTTGCGTATAGGAGGAAGTTTTCCTGTGTCTTGAAGGAGCCAGAGGGGCAATTATGTCGCCGACTTCGTGAAGCTTCTCGTCATTCTTTTCATCGTCCTCTGACTGTTGATAACCATCTCTCGCAGCCACAAAGGTGGGCTCCGAGAAATAATTGGTCTGCTTAAAACCAGAGAGGTGTGGCTCAAACGAGTCTGAATGCGAAGCAGGGGGTGAGAACGAATAGTTTGGAGAAAACCCAGATGGCTGAGAAGATTGGTCAGCTGAAAATGGAGGAATTGAAGAAGAAAAACCAGATGTTTGAGAAGACGGAGGGTCTGGAAATTGAGAAACTGAATTAAAACCTGATGCTTGACAAGATGGGGCGTCTGGAAACTGAAGAGTTTCAGAGAATTCATCTGATAAAGAGCTCAGAGAACTTCTATTATCATCGCCATGAGATCTGGAACCGGGTTTTTCAGGAGAAGAGAGCCCTGCATTCTCCGCAACTGCTGGAAAATCCTCAACAAAGCCACTCCGAACATGGCGTCGAAATGGTGGGTCGTCACCTCTATCAGGAATACTCGGCAAAATGGGTTGAGGAGTAGGGTGAGGAGAAGAGAGGAAGGCATCCAAAGTGCTCTGAGGTGACGACCTCCGGGGAGGCACCGACTCTTCAGAGCCATGGCGAAATTCCCTTGGCTCTGCGAATTCTGGCAAGGATCCAGCGCCAGAATGTCCAAATTCTGGCGAGTCGGTCGAAGAGCGAGAAGAAGGGTTAGGAGGTCGAGGCCTAGAGTGCCTATCTCTAAGAGACCTTGGGGGCTGGTCTGATCGCCATTGCTGGACCAGCGATTCTTCAAGGCTAGGGTGGGTATTGTTGTTGTTTTCATCTCCGAAATCGATCAGAGATGGGAAGGAAGAATTTGCAGGGAATGGTTGTGCCATACAAGAATTGTTAGAGAGAGAAGAGAGGTGTTCAGGGCTGGGCAAGGCGGAGAGCAGGGTTGCAGGCCATGGGCGGGACTTGTGGAGAGAGAATGAGTGCTGGTTTTTTGGGTCAAAGAGGGGCGGCCATGGCAGCATTAATGCGCTGGCTTCTTTCGGTAAGGACTTTGAAAGCGTCAAGGAGAGAGAGAGGATAAATGTCCTTGGTGCGACAAAAGAGAGACGCTGAGATGTCAGTTTAGAGAGAGAGAGAGAGGGAGGAGAGATGTCAGTTTAGAGAGAGGAACAGAGAGCGGTGCTGTCAAATTGAGCTTTGCCTAGAGCCACTCACTTGGGAATTCCGTTTGTGAGTTCTCTATCTTGTTACAGAAGAATCCCTTGTAATTTATTACGGTGCTCACACTAATAAAATATTGTGAGTTCCCTTAAACCTAATAAAGTAGAGTTTCAAATAACTCAAAATAATCCCTTTGTAAAATAGAGCACTCTAATTATTTTATTATTTTATTAGGATGTTCACATTATAGAGTAATTTATCATTATATTCAAAAAACATTAGACAAATGTGTACTTTTGTTTTGTACATAGAGCATTTTTTTTAGTAAAGACACTATATGTCATTAGTACGGGTATGATGTCATCTACATGAAATATAATGTCACCCATGTGAAGTATACAAATGGCATTTTATACATCATACGGTAGATGACGTTACAACCCTACTAAAAACCAAAAATACTCCATGTGCAAAAACAAGACTATATAAGAGTCCAAAATGTGAAGCATATATTGATTCAATGGAAAAGGGATAATAGATATCAGTTAAGTGCTATGATTGATAGGGTGGTGGAAGAGATTCAAAATATTGACCGGTCTATTCAAAGGGAGGGGAGGATCTATGAACAAACCTTACTATTGAGGTTGGATAAGGTTAATTCCTTGAATGATCTTCGAAGAGCTGAAGAAGTGTATTGGAGGCAGAGGTCTCGAGTTAAGTGGCTTAAAGAGGGAGATCTCAACATGAAGTTTTTTTATGTTATTGCTAGCTTTTGTAAAAAGGCAGAATGGCATTTCTGGTCTATCAATCCTAAGTGTGGATCAGGATGACTATGAAGGGCGTGATAGGGCAATTGTTGATCATTTTTGCAAGGCATTTACATATGAAGTTAATGTTACCCCATCGATGGAGCGCATCCCCTTTAAATCACTCTCGATTGGTATGGTAGAACAATTAGAGGCTGAGGTATTTTTGGATGAGTTGAAAATTGTTGTCTTCTCCTTATCAGGGAACAAAGCTCCAAGGCCGGATGGTTTTTAAATATATTTTTTTGAAAGGCTTTGGCCCATGATATTTATGGAACTGCTTACTATGGTTCGTAGTTTTTTAGAGAGGGGTGAGCTTTTCAAAGGTATCAACTCTACCTTTATAGCCCTTATTCCAAAGAAAACCACCATTGAGAGTCTTGCAGATATTAGGCCTATTAGAATATTGATAAGTTTGTATAAAATAATTGCAAAATTATTGCCAATGAGGCTAAAGAAGGTTCTTCCATTAGTTATTTCTGGACTGCAAGCGGCTTTTATCCACAATAGGCTCATTATTGATAGTATCCTTGTAGCTCAAGAATGTATTCGTTCAAGAGCTATGGGTAGAGAGCCAGCTGCGGTGATGAAGTTAGATATGGAAAAAAACCTATACTAGAGTGGAGTGGAGAATTCTGATGGAGATTACATAGAGGATGGGATTTGGGTTGAAGTGGAGGGAATGGATTTTTGGATGTGTATCATCAGCATACTTTCTGTCCTTATTGATGGATGTCCGAAGGGATACTTTAAAGCCCTAAGGGGCCTTTGCCAGGGAGACCCACTTTCACCTTTCTTATTCACTATTTATGTTGAGTGTTTTAGTCTGATGCTGACTAGGGTGGTAGAGAAGGGCAACTTTATTGGGTTTGCTATAGGTCGGGAAGGACCAGTAATTTCTCATCTCCAATATGTCGATGACACACTGATCTTTACAAAGGCTGATCATGAACAAATCAATAGAATTGGAAGATTTTTGAAATACTGTGAAATAATTGTTGGCCTCAAGGTCAATTTTCATAAGACTTCGTTGGTAGGGATCAATTGTAATAGGGAGTTTATAAAGGTTTTGGCTCATTCAATATAAAACTAATTCTTTCCGGATAGTTTATTTGGGGGTGCCAATCTCTGACAAGAGTTTTCCATTATCTGTATGGGATAATGTCATACAAAGAGCACAAGTGAAACTAGACTTATGGAAGCCGAAGTATCTGTCCTTAGGGGGTAGAGTGACGATTGCAGTCCTGCATGGCGAACCTACCTATTTATCAAATGTCCCTGCTTAAAATGCCTGCAAGGGTGGTGAAAAGGGTTGAGAGAATGATGAGGAATTTCTTGTGGGGATCCTATGAAGAGGCAAAGAAATTCCATCTTCTTAGAAGAGACAGGGTGTATACTCCCAAAAGGGAGAGAGGATTGGGTATTAGGAGGCTATCATTGATGAATCAGGCCTTACTTACCAAGTGGTGATGGTGAAGCTTACACTTCAAAGACCAGCTGTGGTGTAAGGTGCTCCAGGCTAAATATGGTACGGATAGGTCTGGGGTTTGGATTAAAGGGAGATATGGAAGTGATGTCTGCTTGGTGTTCTGGAAAGAGATTTTTTTTATGCAAAGGCAATATTCACTGGGATATTTGATGGTGTGTGGGGAATGGTACATTGGTGTCGTTTTGGCATCACAAAGTGGATAAGCAATGGTCCCGTGAAGTCCAGCTTTCCTGGGTTATTTTCTAGTGTGTCTAATCCTAATGCTTTGCTATGTGAGTGTTATTAGATGAGTGGGGAAAAAGTGGTATGGAAGATTGAGTTCCCTTATAATAGGGTTTCTGATGCAATTTACGACGCAGATGAAGCAGCTTCAGGGAGTCCATATTCTATCTTCTGTGGAGGATGAGATGGTGTGGGAGCATAGTCACAGTGGTTTATTTTCTGTTAAAGCTATGTATTCTTTGTTATTCCACGATCGTATTTAATGGTCTTGCCTTGGTGTAGCTGTGGTTTGGAGATGGAGAATACCTCATAAAGTTCAAATGTTTCCTGTGGTTAGCTGCTCAAAACAAGGTTTTAACAATTGATAACTTGATCAAGAGAGGAAAATTTTTAACTAATGTGTGCATCATCTACAGAGAAGATGGGGAGTCTATTGCACATCTTCTTATTCATTGAAAATTTGTTTCACACATATGTTTATACTTCCTGTTAGCACTAGGTTTCAGTGTGCCATTGCCGAGGGATGTACTGGGCATTATCTCTCAATTGGTATTTCCAGGGATACCTAAGAAAGGCCATTTTCTCTAGCAGATCATAAAAAGGGCGATATGCTGGGAGACATGGAAAGAGCGTAATCGACGCACGCTTGATGGTATGACTTGCACAGTGGAGGGTAAGGGTATATTGCATCAAGTGCTCCACACCTCGTGGAGTTGGTTGTCGGTTACAGATGAAGGTAGGGGTACATCAGAGAAGGATATGCTGCGGAACTTGAGAGATTTGGCATTCTCTGGGACTACTTCATCTAGAGTGATTGGGCGATGGTGCCCCCCTCACAGTGGTTGTCTGAAACTAAACTTTGATGGTAGCTCTTTCGGTAATCCGGGTGAAGCAGGTATTGGTGGGGTGGTGAGGAATTCACAAGGACATTTGTTGTTAGCCTATGCTGGCCCGATTGGTCACACTACGGCCAATTGTGTGGATATTACCTCAGTGCTCTTCGGTCTATGTTTCATTAACAATATGAATCTGGGGAACTTTATATTGGTTGAAGGTGATTCCTTGAATGTCATTAGGTGGTGTAAAAATGAGCAACGAGTTCCTTGGTCTCTCAAATCACTTTGGGATCAAGTGATGGATTTGGCGGCTTCTTTTTCTATTTTCTTTTAGCATGTATAAAGGGAGGGCAACTTTGAGGCTGATGCGCTTGCTAAGAGGGGGGTTTCTATGTATTCCATTTCTTTTATTGAATGATGTAATCGATGCCTAATTAAGTAATAAAACATTATAACTTTGGTCAAAAAAAAAAAATCCAAAATTGTTGAGTACAATTCTAAAATGCTCCATAGTGGGAACACCCTAACATAACCCTTTTATTATTATTATTATTATCAATTCACTTTATTGTGCTTTACTCATTTAACAATTGGCTAATTGACGTACGAGATTGTATACAATAAGACCATTTACCTTTGATACAAGGTGATCACAATTCCTTACAACTATGTGATATAAAATTTAATAGCTTTGGTGTGTCACAATGTTTGAAATTTTATTTTTTGAATTTTGACCATGGTCAATGGAATAAATTAAATAGCCCAATTTCATATCCAATGGTCAAGATTAATTGTGACCACCTTGTACCAAAGGTAAATGGCCCCATTCTATACTTTTCCATGGCGTAATGGGTCGTCATGGTAGTAGTACCCCTACACCTTGGTCACTACGTTGTGGTTTTTATTATCACTAACACCTGTAAAAAATCTAACTCCTAAACTATTTGAAGCAACGGGTAGGGACCTATCTTTCTCACTAAATGACTTAAAAACAATAAATAAATGAAATATTATTCAAGGGTTAAATAATCTCTAGTATTATTTTGAGGTCATACTTTATTTATTCATTTCAATTTCATACCTCCTTAAAAAAAAATTAAGAATATCTAAAAGGTTATGTTAGGCCTCACACAAAAGAGCATTTTGTAGTTATACTCAACAAATTTTAGATACTTATATATTATTATTTTATACATGGAGCATTATCATCCACTCATATCGAGCTCACTAATGACATTTAATGTTCCTTGTAGGTGATATCAAAGTGAATAACATCACACTCCTCGTAATGACAAAAAATAGCCTTACTAAAAAATATTATAGTATAAAACAAAGTTCTATAAGTATCCAAAATTTGTTAATTTAATGCATAAAAGTATTTAAGTGCAAAATAACAAAAATATCCCTAGTTGTTTTGCATTGTGAATATTGGATAGTGTGTTCGTTATTTTTAATGTGGAATAACTAGGGGTATTTTTTATTGTTTCACATTCCAAATAACGAATAATGGCAATTAGGTATTTTTTAGTTTTTTAGAAGGTATCTAATTGTAATGAAAATAAAAAATAAACACTCAAATAATACAAGAGATAATTTAACCCTTTTAATGATATCAGAAGGCATTTCATTCCCTTTAATAATATTTTTTTAAATAAAAAAACTATGTTCAGGTTGACAACTAACTTTGAACTTGGCAAATGAAATGAAATTCTCCACAACTTTAGTATTTTAAAGTTAGCGAAAAAGAATTAATTTTCTAAACATTAATTAAAGAGTAATGATCCTATGAGACCCTTCCACAGGATCACCATTAAATTTGACATAAATCTCTAGAAAAGTTATCACATGGGTGTGTGCTTTGAGTAATTCATGGTATTCT